CTAGTGGCCGGTGCACAAAATTTGTGCACGGGTGGGGGGGGTGAGTCCCTCAGCCTGGACTGCACCCTCTTCAATCTGGGACCCCTCGGGGGGATGTCCGACTGCCCCCATAGGGATCAGGCCTAAACTGGCAGTTGGACATCCCTCTCGCAATCCAGGACTGCTGGCTCCTAACCACTCACCTGCCTGCCTGCCTGATCACCCCTAACTACTCTGCCTGCCAGCCTGCTCACCCCCAACTGCAACCCCTGCTGGCCTTCTCGCCCCCAACTGCCCCCCCTTTCCGGCCTTATCGCCCCCAACTGCCCTCCCTTGCTGGCCTGCTTGTCCCTAACCGCCTCTGCCTTGACCCCGCCACCATGGCTTTGTCTGGAAGGTCTCCCGGTCTAATTAGCATATTACCCTTTTATTAGTATAGATACTAGAGGCCTGGTGCACGAAATTTGTGCACTTGGGGAGGGTGTCCCTCACCCTGGCCTGCGCCCTCTCTCAGTCTGGGAGCTCTCGGGGGATGTCTGACTGTCACAGAGGCGGGAGAGGCTCCCACCACCACTGTTGCGCTCATTAGCCGTGAGACTGGCTTCTGGCTGAGCAGCGCTTCCCCTGTGGGAGCGCACTGACCACCAGGGGGGAGCTGCTGCATTGAGCGTCTGCCCCGTGGTGGTCAGTGCATGTCATAGTAATTGGTCGTTCTGCTGTTCAGTCAATTTGCATATTAGCCTTTTTTTATATAGGAATATATATATTTTTTTCCATTGATTTCAGACAGGGTGGGAAGGAGGGAGAAAAGAGGAGAGCGGGCTAGAGAGAGAGAGAGTTCTGAGAGAGAGAGAGAGAAAAACAATGATTGTGAGAGAGGCGAATTGAGGGGTTGCCGTCCTGTTCTCCATGTATAATAACTGCAACCGAAGAACATGCCCCTTGACTAGGTATTAAAAGCAATGAAGCCATTAAGCCATGTGCCACGCCGGCAAGTGAGAGTGTTTCTTTTATTTTTCTCCCTATACCCATTTCCTTTGTGGCTTTGATCCCCAGTCTGTCAGAAGTCAAAACAAGCTTTTCTTCCCTCTCTCCGAGTCCCTACCCTCCTTGCTACCCACTGGTGGGTCCCTGAGCCGCTGGGAGCAAAGCAGCATTCAGTGAGCCTTGGGCAGGTCTCATGTTCCCGAGTCGTCAGTGGGAAAGCCAGTCCCTGTGGCACCTACGTTGGATTATTGCATCTTGGTATTTGAAGGTTACCGCTTTGAGGATACATTGATCTCTGTATTCCAGCCAGCCATATCTAGAAGTTGATCCATTTTTATGCCCCCACAACCTGACCGCTTCTCTACCAAGCTCTTCCTTCACATGGCGGTGTTGCTAGTTATTGAGCTACTAGTAAAAGGGTGAGGTAGGGTCTTGCTGACAAGATGGCAGGAACAAAGTGTATTTGCTGTCTTTTTCCTGTAGGAAGACTCGGAGGACAGTGAAATTGACATGGAAGATGATGAAGAAGACGACGACGACTTGGAAGACGAGAGCATTGCTCTCTCTCCAGCTAAATCTAGTCGAAGGGTCCGGAAACCTGAGCCCCTGGAAGAGAGTGACAATGACTTCTGACTTTCTTGCCAAGGGACCCATGCAGATTAAAACCCTCAGATTTGTAGGTAAATGGGAATTTAGAAGGTTAGAAAGGAAGCATATTTTGTTTACTAAGTCAGTTGGACTTACTGTTACTGAAGTATTACCTGTTTTTTGCTTTAGCCTCCTATGTGTTACTCCATGAAGCTTAAACAAGAACCAGAGCAAACTCCAAAGATGATTTTTTTTTTGCCTTATCTCCCAAAAGTGGGAAATATGTGTGTGCTTAGTGATTCACATCCACAGGACAAAAACTTGAGGAGAAATAAGTTTCTATGTAAGTTTGATTATTGTTGTTGTCACATATGTCCTCTAAGAGTCAGTGGGACAAACCTGAGGCTGGCACTGCACACAAGGACTCATTTTAGGAATTAGTGCCAGACTATTAGTCACTTGTACAATTTAGAGGCTTTTAATTCTAGCTTTTATTTCATTTTATAGTCTTTTTTCCTGCATGTTCACAATACCAAGCTTTAAATGCATTTTACTAAAATTTTCTGAATGAAAGTTAGCTAAGTTAGATGAAAATCAACTTTCTTTGAAAATCAGGCAACAGAAGATCCTCCAGATTATAAATTCTCCATTTTTTTTCTCAGAAGGCCAGCATTCCTTCTTAGGAAAGTTGACTTAAAAAATAAACCAGAATTGAAATAGGTAGAGTAACACTAGAATTTTCCTATTATGAAAAGACAAGTGAAAGATAGGTGGCATTTTTTGTTTTGTTTTTTGGGAAGCACAGAACAGTTTTTATTGTTTTTCAGTTATAAAGTCATAAGACTTCTGAAGTTACTTCTCTTAATAAATGTTTTTAATACCATATTTTTATATTATTAAATAAATTTTACTTGAATATGTAATTATTTTGTTTATTTGCACTGATTAAAAAATACTCGAGAAAAGTTCATAGTAACGTTACTGTGGCACATGTAAACTTTAGGGGACTGTGACAGTTAGTGCTATCACCTTTGCTTTTTACCATCTTTTTCTACATTTTATGTATGAGATTACCCCCTTTTTTAAACATTCAGCATTCGGTTAATTCATCAGTAATTTGAGATGTGCCATCTTTTTTTTAAATTAAATTTATTTTTATTGATTTTCCCCTAAAGAGAAAGGGAAAGGGGGAGAGAGAGAGAAACATCAATGATGAGAGAGAATCATTGATTGGCTGCCTCCTGCATGCCTCCTATTGGGGATTGAGCCCACAACCCGGGCATGTGCTCCGACCAGGAATTGAACTGTGACCTCCTGGTTTTATAGGTCGATGCTCAACCACTGAGTTATGCCAGCTGGGTAAGAGGTGCCATTTTAAAAAAAAAAAATACTTTATTGCCGAAACCGGTTTGGCTCAGTGGATAGAGCGTCGGCCTGCGGACTCAAGGGTCCCAGGTTCGATTCCGGTCAAGGGCATGTACCTGGGTTGCCGGCACATCCCTAGTGGGAGGTGTGCAGGAGGCAGTTGATTGATGTTTCTCTCTCATCGATGTTTCTAACTCTCTATCTCTCTCCCTTCCTCTCTGTAAAAATTCAATAAAATATATTTTAAAAAAAAATACTTTATTGATTTGGTTCACCTGAGTCTGACCTGACTTATATTTTGAAAAAAACTAAAAATGTGTTTCTATTTTCCGTATGTGATGCTTTCTTCTAATGGGCATTAGCTTGGGAGTCCTACCCAAGCTACTGATAAAATGTCCACAGATAGAGGTAATGACTGTAATGGGTGATTCATTCTTTCACCTGCTTCTTGGTCATCCTTCATCCCTTGGTTAATTGAATTTGTGCAGGCTCTCACTATGGTATGGCACTTTCTTCAGTAGCTTCTGTCAACAAAGGAGATACAAGTAGTCGATCATGTTATTAATGTATTTCTGTCACTGTAATGGATCCAGGAGTCAAATATGTGCAAGTGCCTTATGACCTGGTGTCATTTGGTTTTAGTTATGCAGCAGAGCAGACTCAGGCCCCACAGAAGCTCGAGTGATTAGGTCTGTGAAAAACTAGCACCTAGGTCATTGCTGACAGTGGTGGGTTTTTGTTTTTTACTGTATAATTAACGGATCTCTTAAAATGCTTTAAAATATGTGTATTGACAGAAAATATAAAGGAATTTTTTAAGTTCTCAATTTTTATTGGTGGTAGCCATTAAGAACAAAGTACAAAGACTTCCTCTAGGAAATCAGAAGAACTGTTTCCCTTTTAGCTGGGACAGGAAGAAATAAATGCAAGATATCTTTCACTAGCATTTTAAATGGTAATATCAGTACCAAACATCTGAAGGGAAGATGTGTCTCTTTGGTTAGCAACATCTACACTAATAAAAGACAAACATGCAAATTGACCATTCCTTTGCCATGTCTTAAGCCACGCCCACCAGCCAATCAGAGCAACTATATGCAAATTAACCCAACCAAGATGGTGGCCGGCAGCCACAGAGCTGGAGCAAGCAGGAGGCTTGGTTGCTCCAATGATGGAGGAAGCCAAGCTGCCGCGTCAGCTCTCAGCTCCACTTAAAGCAACAAAGTTTCAATTATAGAAGGTAAATAAACCCCAGATACCTGCTTTCAGCCGGCTGTGGCCACAGAGCTGGAGTGAGCAGGAGGCTTGATTGCTCCTTCCTCTGCCGGCTGTAGCCTCCACAAAAGGCAACAAAGTTTCAATTATAGAAGGTAAATAAATCCCAGAATAAAAAAAAGAGAGGCTGGAAGCTTCCGTCGCCCGGGTGGCTTGGCCAGCCTGAAAATGGCCCTCAGCCCCTCACCCAGGCTGGCCAGGCACCCCAGTGGGGACCCCCACCCTGAAGGGGTTGTGACCAGCTGCAAACAGCCATCAGCCCCTCACCCAGGCTGGCCAGGCACCCCAGCAGGACCCCCACCCTGATCCGGGACACCCTTCAGGGCAAACCAGCTTGCCCCCATCCATGCACCAGGCCTCTATCCTATATAATAAAAGGATAATATGCAAACTGACCCTAACAGCAGAATGACTGGGAATGACTGGTCACTATGACACACACTGACCACCAGGGGGCAGATGCTCAATGCAGGAGCTGCCCCCTGGTGGTCAGTGTGCTCCCACAGAGGGAGCCATGCTCAGCCACAAGCCAGGCTGACAGCTGCCAGTACAGCGGTGGTGGTGGGAGCCTCTCCCTCCTCCTCAGCAGCGCTAAGCATGTCCGACTGCAGCTTAGGCCTGCTCCCCGCTGGCAAGTGGACATCCCCCGAGGGCTCCCGGGCTGCCAGAGGGATGTCTGACTGCCATTTTAGGCCCAATCCCCCGGGGAGCGGGCCTAAGCCAGCAGGTGGACATCCCCCGAGGGGTCCCAGGCTGTGAGAGGGCACAGGCCCGGCTGAGGGACCCCCCCGCAAGTGCACAAATTTTTGTGCACTGGGCCTCTAGTACTACATAAATATCACAGCTATTAGATTAGCACAGGGGAGCTCTTGGGTGCTGGACTCCAGGACTGGTTGAATTGGAAGGGAACTAAAAGGTCTGCCTCCTACCCAGAACAGAAGTCCTTTCAATAAGGATGTGACTGGAGCAGGAAAACAAAGGGTTCAAGAAGGTGTGTCATTAGGGGAAAATGGAATAACCAGTGTGTCTGTGAGAGATAGTATTCAGATTTTACACTTCTCTTGGACAGTTTGGAAAAGAATTAAGCAATAGTGACATAGAAAATTCATTAAATTTAAAAATAATACAACTTAATTCTAGAAAGAACAATGACATAGGAAGAAAATGGCTTAGCTGTGATCCATACTAATAAAGTCATAAGATAAACACTAAATAATGATTCAACCCCAAATCATACTATAACTATGTTGGAAGGAAGAAGAAAAAAAAGTGGGGGCATAAGGTGATGTATGTACAAGTGCCATTTCCCATAATAGAAAGTCAGTAGATACTCTTTAAAATGATTAAGCAATAAATAGTGGACTTTGGAAATTAGGAAATCAGGGGCTTCAGCCAGGAGAAGTGAGATAGCAGGAGAGGTTGGATTTTAAAGCCAACACAGTGAGTACTGATGACTGTTCAGAAAGGGATGGTCATAGTGAAAAGAGAAGACAGAGCTGGGGGAGAAAAGCAAGGTCAAAGAACATTTTGGAGGACTGCCCACAAGGAATTGTTTTAGGAATCAGTGTTGGACTATTAATCATTTGTACAATTTAGAGGCTTTTGATTCTAGACTTTATTTTGTTTTCTGTTTGTATGTATGTGAGGGAAACATGTTTTTTTAGCTGAAAGAAACTAGCTTGTGAAATGGGAGGAGTTGAATCAGAGAGAGAGAGAGAAAAATTTAGTCTACATTAGGAGCCATTCTGCTTAAATTCATACTTTATATTGAAAACATACATACTAGAAAGCCAGTTGTGTAGAAGCCACTATATGGGGTAAGAAGGCTAAGGTTGATTTCACAATTTTTTACACCTGGATTTCTATAGTGTCTATTGTAGACACTATAGAAACTGTTTTCTTGACTTGGGCATTAGGTAGAGTACCCATAATATTGAGGCATTTCCTCAGAAGATGGGCCAAAGTAACCCTAGAATGAAGGATGGCTGACTCTGGCTAACAAAGCTTAAAAGCAAGTTTTGAAAGGATCCAAGTGTTTCTAAGTAATTGTGTACCAGAATAAAGCTCAAGAATATTTTAAGAAATATAAAACCAGCACCTAGAAAGATAAAATCCCCAATTTCTGGTGTTCAATAAAAAAATTACCAGGCATGAAGACACTGCGGCTCCAAAGCAGCCAGATATCCTCGGAAGAGCTCCCTGAGGAGAAACAAGCTTGACCGCTATGTCGTCATCAAGTTCTTACTATGGAGCCAATCATGAAGAAGATTGAAGACGACAATACACTGTGTTCATTGTGGACATCAATGTCAGCAAACACCAGATCAAACAGGCTGTGAAGAAGTTCTATGACATTGATGTGCCAAGGTCAACACCTGATTGGGCCTGATGGAGGGAAGAAGGCATATGTTTTACTGGCTCCTGACTTTGGGTGTTGCCAACAAAATTGAGATCACCTAAACTGAGTCCAGCTCCCTAATCCTATATAATAAAAGTCTAATATGCAAATCGACCTAACGGCAGAATGACCAGTGGAACGACCAGTCGCTATGACATGCACTGACCACCAGGGAGCAGATGCTCAATGCAGGAGCTGCCCCCAGCCTGCAGGCCCCAGGCCAGCCAAGTCAGGTGCCAGCAGGGGCCCCTGATAGCCCCACCAGTTGCCCCACAGATTGGCTCTGTTCGCCGGCCAGGCCTAGGGACTCTACCCATGCATGAATTTCGTGCATCAGGCCTCTAGTTCTAAATATAAATTTTTTTTCACTGTAAAAAAATTATCAGGCATAATGAGAAAAATCAAGAAATAACCCATAAATGATAGGTGATAGAATTAGTAGAAAAGAATATTCTTAACAGTTATAACTATATTCCGTATATTCAGGTGGTAGAGGAAAGCATGAGCATATTAAGGACAGACACAGAAGATATAAAGTAAGCCTCAAACAGAACTTCCAGAGAGTAACAAAATGAGATGAAACCAAACAAACAGATTAAGAGCAGTCAGACACTGCAGAAGAAAAATTACTGATCCTGAAGACACAGCAATAGGAACTGTCCAGAATAAAAAACAGGACATCCCACTGTGCTGGTATCAATTTATTGCCTCAGCTCCAAATTCACCTTTTGGCCTGCTCTGTTGTAACCGTGCTATTTTTTGTAATATCTCTCCTTTATCAGCCAGCAAGATGTTAAGTGTTGCCAGTAGAGGGTGCTTGAGAGACTTTGGAGAAAGTCGGGGCTTTCCTTCCATTTATAGTGTGGCTTGCTCTTGAAGTCCATGAAGAGCACTCTTTTTCTCCACTGCTTCGGCCCCTGGAGTTTCTCCAGTGCTAGGTTCCTGCATAGCACAGTTTGCTTCAACATTTAGCTACTGCAACTCTTGTTCTGATGAGTTCTCAATTCAGCCAGAAACAGTGCAAACCAAAAGACAGTATATAACATCTTGAAAGCACTGAAAGAAAAAACTGTCAATACCCAGCAAAAATCTTTTTAAAAGAGCAATCCAATAAATACTACACATGACCCATGTTCGAATGTCCCCAGTTTCCAAATAATGTTCTTTATGGCTGGTTTTTCCCCCTCCAGTCTAGGATCCAGTCAAAGATCTTAAGTTGTTATGTCTCTTGAATCTCCTTCAATCTAAAACAGTCCCAAGTCTTTTTTATTTTTCATGACATTGACTTTTTTTAAGAGGTCAGGCTGTTTTTTCCCTTTTTTGCAGAATGCTCCTCAATTCTCATTTTGTTTAATTATTCCTTCATGATTAGATTCAGGTAAACCTTTTTGGCAAAAATACTACATCAGCAATATGTCCTTCTCAGTGCATCACATCAGGGCCCCTGATGTCCATTTGTCCCATTATTAGTGACATTAAGTTTAATCGCTTTGTTAAGGCAACATTTGTAAAATTTCTATAAGATACCTTTTAGATGACCCTTTGTGGGTGATGTTTTGAGACTATGTGAATATCTTCTTCCTCAATTGGCTTTCATCCGGGGTTTTAGTATCCATTGATTCTTGCCTGAATGCTCATTTTTAAAGAAGCATTAGGAATAATAGTGCTTCCTGTCCAAATTTTAAAACGATAATTACTTTATAATCTTTGTGATGAGAGCTATGGTGTCCATTTGGGATCTTTTCCTTTCAGCACAGACAGACATCTGAGGGAATCTATGCCACATGGAAATCTATGCCACATGGAAATTCAGAGGGAAGGTAGTCAGAGTAATAATAATTATGGGAAGCCCAATAATAATAACATTATTATTAAGAATAACATTATTGAACGTGCTATAGATAACTAGTGTGCCAGACTCCAAATAACATACGCCAGACATAATCCATGCCTGTGAGAGATTTTGTGATGTATTTAAAAAATGGCAAAAACTTTGGGAAAGTTTTTTTTTTCTCTGTCTCCAGAATTCTATAATTAAAGCCTTTATTTTTCTTTTTAAAAATCCCACATTTTTTCCATATATCTCTAAGGATCATACCCCTAAAACTCTTCTTGAGAAAAGAAAGATCCTCTCTGTCAACAATGCCAAATTGGTACTCCGTTCACTGGAATATGGCAACTCATTTCCACTCACTTTTAACTGGATGAGTGGGAAAAGGTAGTAATAATTTTTTAAAAGTTGGGGGCACATGAAGACCTCAAGGTATGAATAAGCTCAGGCCAGCTTCTTACTTGCTGAGCTTTAAGGTGTAAGTCCTGGGTCCCTCAGTGGAAGACCCTTTCCTCTGTCCCAGACCAGAGTGTCCATCTCACCCCTGCCTAGACTGACCCTGGACCAGAAGAGGTGCTCGCGACCTCCTTTGGCAGCACCTTTCCTGCCTCTGCAGTTTACCAGCTCTCGTGCAGGTCAGCATCATTCCCAGATAACAGGAAATCACCCTGGAAAATGGTCTTTTTGTTTGAAGGCTTCCAGCTGCATCTCTGCCCATCCTCCTGCCCGGTCCACCAGGAACTTGCTTTGCTCACATTTCAACAGTGCATGAGGGAGCATTTGTCTTGATAGTTTCTGAGATCATTCTGGCACCTGATTCCCCAATGTGATTTCCCTGGAGACTAGAGAAAGATTAGGACAAGTTGAGAAATTGGCTGAAGGGCTAGAGCAGTGGTTCTCAACCTTCCTAATGCCGCGACCCTTTAATACAGTTCCTCATGTGGTGGTGACCCACAATTTCATTGTTACAAATTGAACATAAAGCATAGTGATTAATCACAAAAACAATATGTAATTATATATGTGTTTTCTGATGGTCTTAGGTGACCCCTGTGAAAGGGTCGTTCGACCCCCAAAGGGGTCGTGACCCACAGGTTGAGAACCGCTGGGCTAGAGGCTACAGTTTCTCTTTAGTAAAGAGCAGAAGGTCAGTACATAAGATGCAGAGCTCTGGGTGAAACCTTGTGCTTCCAGGATCTCTCCCATGGACAAGGCTCTGAATGGCTTTCTTTTATATTGAGTTTTTCCCCAGAGCTGCTGAGGGGCCTGGGAGTCCACTGGCTCCGAAAATCAGGCAGAAGGTAGGGCCTGACCTGGGAACAGTTCTAAGGGTGAGAATGGCAGGAAAGGGCAGAGACTGCCAAACCCCACTCACTTGATATGCTGGATCCCATGGTTTCCAGACAGTGCAGTGGCAATGCATATCATCCCATCCATCCCCAAGGAATTCTCTTGAAGACTAGGCAGAGAAAAGATGGAGACACCAGAGTGAGCCAGTCAGGGCAGAACACACCTCTGAAAGCAGCACTGCATTATCCTGTGGGATAGTTCTGGCACTGATTTGTCCAATAGGTGCCATAACAACAGCAAGGTGGGCATTTAATCCTGAGACGAGTTTATGAGGAGCCAGGTTGTACCGTCTTAGTGCCATGGAGATTATCAGACCAAAAATGCTGATGTTAAGTGATTTACCTCTGACCTATGCTAGGCAAAATGACCAAACTCATCCATAATATAGACTATAGTCACCAGAACAGTCTGAACTATTTCTATTCAGAAGGAAGCAGCTACAGAGGAAATCAAGAGCATCTTATCCCCTGGGGAGGTTCCAGCATAGAAGTCCTCTGCTCTGGGGTGCAGATAGGGCTCGGCAACCACTCACTTGAGTCTTCGGAGGCTTGAGTTGACCTTCAGAGCATTTGCCAGGGCTTTGGCTCCAGCCACCCCAATGGCGTTTCCTCTTAAACTGTAAAAAAAAGAGACAGGCAATGGCCCTGGCCAGTGTGCTCAATGGTTAGAGCATTGGCCTGTGCACTGAAGGGTCGTAGGTTTGATTCCCCATCAAGGGCACATACCTGGGTTGCAGGTTCATCCCGGCCCCAGTGGGGGCACATGTGGGAGGCAACCAATCGATGTGTCTCTTTCACATCAATGTTTCTCCCTCTCTCTCACCTCTCTCCCTTTTCCCACTCCCTCCCACTTTCTAAAATTCAATGGGGAGGGGAGGGGGCAGATATCCTTGGGTGAGGGTTTAAAAATAAAGAAAGAAAAGACAGGCAATGTAAGGCACCGTGGTGGCTGAGAGGTGAAAATGCTATTTCTTCAGATGAGTGTGGGCTACTGGTGAGAGGCAGTGTGGACTCAGCAACCATGGGGAGTTACGTTGCTCCTTCCTTACTCTCAAGCCAAAACGGAGTTTGGCTTTGGGGAGCAAGCAGGACACACAGGAGGGGTGAGCCAGCCCAACCTGGGTGGTGTGTTGGTGCCTTCATTCTCCTTTTACATTCCCAAGGAAGAGCTGGGCTGACAGGAGAGGCAGCACTCCATCCAGCAGTCCCTGTGTGCTCAGCATCACAGAACCACGGGAGCAGGGGTGACCTGGACATGCCTGAAAGCCCCACAGAGCTTGAGGCCGCAAACTCCTGGATCTCAAAGACCAAGATCAGTGGACACAGACCACCCCAGGGACCCCTCAACAAGATCTTGGAACATGTTCAGCCCGGGCAAGACCAAGAAAAGCAGGTACTCAAGAAAAGGAGGCCCAACAATAGTGACTCCCAGGGAGAAGGGGTGAAGTAGGAATGGGGAAGCTGGGCATGCTTGATATTTCATTGCTTTGTGAATTTCTTACAAATTGATATTTTTTTTCTCCTCCATATCTATTCACTTGAATCAACAGTTTGGTTTTTTGGGGCAAGAGACTTTAGCCAGAGGCTGGAATACTTACTCGAGAATCTCCAAGGTTCTGTTCACAGCCAGGGCCTCCCCCAGTGCCTGAGCCCCCCGCGCACCAATGGAGGCCACCTGGAGACTAAGAGGAGATGCTGTTAACGTAGTCAGGCCAGACAGGCTGGGCTCTCCAGTCCTCATACCTGCCCGGGGCCCAGCTTCCATTCACAGGCACCCTCATTTTCACCACCCTTGACTTAGGGTCGAAAATGAAAAAATAGCACTGAAAATTGGCTGTGGTCTGTCCAAAGGATACTGCATGTCCTCCCTGCACTGTTTGTGCTTGGGACATATCTAGGTACTATGGATACAGGAAATAGAGGTAGTCTCCTGGGGAGTTTGCAGGAGAACACTGCCTGTACCCCTAAATCTTGTTACAACTGCAGGAGCAAGAATGCGCTGGGCATCCCTTCTCCTGCCTGGTTGCTGATATTAGGGAAATCAAACGCAGCTTCCTAGACTGGGAAACAAAAATGGTTTTCCATATGAAAGGATGGTGAAGGGCTGGCTTCCTGGACTGCTGCGCGCGCGTCAGGACTTACTAGAGAGCAGTGAGGGCTGTGTTTGCCTTCAGCGCACTGGCCACTGCACAGGCGCCTTCGTCCCCGATGGCGTTCTCCTGTAAACTGAACACAGAGAGTGAGCCTGGGCCAGCTCTCTAGCATGACGTGCTGAGCTTGGACCTTCTACCTAATTCAGACCACACACATTGTAGACTATACTCCCAGGGTCACCCCATGGCCTCCTGATTAACATGCAGGGGGACCTGGGGTCTGGACCATCAGGAGCAAATGAGAAAAGGGACACATGGAAGCATTGCCAACAGATACGTGAGATAAAGTGTGCTTTTCGAAGCCAGAGCACTGAAAGCCCTCTGTCCCCAGGCCATTCTTGCTAGCTGCAGTAATAATTTCACAGACGCTTGAGTGTATAGTGTGCACTAGCAAGGCCAATTCCGCCTTTTTGGAACTCAGGTGAGGAGACATGATTAAATGAGCAGTCACTATAGGCTAAAAGCAGGCTGCAGTGTGGTCCCAGAGGCTGCCCAGAGAAATAGGTCTAAACCAGTGGTTCTCAACCTTCTGGCCCTTTAAATACAATTCCTCATGTGACCCAACCATAAAATTATTTTCGTTGCTACTTCATAACTGTAATGTTGCTACTGTTATGATCATAATGTAAATATCTGATATGCAGGATGGTCTTAGGCGACCCCTGTGAAAGGGTCGTTCAACCCCCAAAGGGGTCGTGACTCACAGGTTGAGAACCGCTGGTCTAAACCAAAACCCAAAGGATAAGAGATGGGGAGGGGGCCTAGCATATCTAAAGAACCCAACGACATTGAGTCAAGTCTCTCGAGAGTGAAACGAGGCTGAGGAGACATTAAGGAAGCAGGTGTTTGGGGGCCCTAGCAGCCATGCTAAAGGTCGGACTTCACTCGGCAGGCCCTGGGCAGCCATTGAAACATCTCACCAGGACAGGGACAGATTTGCATTTTGAAAAGATCCTGGCTAGCCGTGGATGGACTGGGTGTGGAGGCTGCTGCAGTGATGCAGGTGAGTGATGCTGGTGCCTGGACAGTGGCCATGGGGGTGGGACACGGGGAAGAGAATCAACAGGACTTGGAAATGAATCAGTAGGACTTGGAAAAGGGCAAGGGTGATGCTTCTACTTTTCACAGTTGGTTGGCTGGTTCTAGTCATAAGATGGGGAACCAAGAAGCAGGCTTGTGGGGGTGATCAGTCAGGCAATCTGAAGTACCACTGAGACACCCAAAGGGAGGTGCGGAATGGGCAGTAGGTACACGGGTCTGGAGCTCCGGAGAGAGGTCTGGGATGTAGCTGTGGGGCCATAAGGACTTCAAAGCCTGAAAGAGGAGGAGAGCTTCCAGAAGAGAGAGAGCACCTTCAAGGGAAGGTGGCCTGGGACAGAACCCTGAGGAACACAGGTATTTCAGAGTCAAACGGAACTAGCCAGAGATGGGATATCCTGGAAGCTGAGAGAGAAGTAGTCAGCGTCAAAAGGAGTGAAACTCAAAAGGTTACCATTTGACCCAGCAATTCCATTCCCAGGTGTACACACAAGAGGACTGAAAGCAAACACAGAAACATGTACATGGGTGTTCACAGCAGCATTATTCATAATAACCAAAACGTGGAAACAACCCCAATGTCCAGCAACAGGTGAAAGTCTTATCCACACAGTGGAATACTATTCAGCCATGAAAAGGAATGAAGCGCTGACACATGCCACAATGTGGATGAACCTTGAAAACATATTAAATGAAAGTTGCCAGTCATGAAAGACCACATATTGTATCATTTCACTTACAGAAATGTCACGAATAGGTAAATCCATAGAGAGAATAAGCTGGTGGTTGCCCGGGATAGGCCAGAAGGGGAAGTGACCACTGATGGATCTGGGTTTTCTTAGAGGGTGATAGAAATGTTCTAAATTTAGTTGTTGTGTTGCACAACTGTGAATATACCAGAAACCAGAGAATTATATACCTCAATAAAGCTATTATGTATTTTTTAAAGCAGATGAGGATGGAAACATGCCTGCTGGCCTTAGGACAGAGGAGGCTGTGTGCTGAGGGCGTGAGCCCTGTGCTTGGTGGGCACTGAGGTGTCAGATGCCCCTGCCCCCGTGGAGTCCCCACTTACTCGAGGCTGATCAGGCTCTTGTTGAACTGTAGTGCTTGTCCCAGGGCCTTGGCGGCGCCGGCCTGGATGAAGTTCCACTGCAGGCTAGGCAGACACGGACCACATGACTACGTGGCCCAAGGCAGAGTCCAGGCGGTCCTGGGCTCCAGAAAGAGCAGGCTTCTCCCAGGAGAATCTGACGCCAGGGAATGGAGTCCCTGCGGGGTGTGTTCTAGAGGGACCACTGATGGGCGGAGCTCCTGCAACCCTCAGCCTTAGTCCCAAGGAGTCAACGTTTACTCTCTGGTTAGGCGTGGGTACAGGGACAGGCTCAAATAAAGACTCCAGATGGTCCCTGCTGTGGTTACCCACCTCCAACCCCATTGGTCTCTCCGTGGATCCATCTCAGGAAGTGGAGCAGGGGGCAGGGCTGGTGGCCCCGCAAGTGACCACCTGCAGCCTGCTGGAGGCCCCAGAGACCATGTGGAAGATGCCCAGAGCTGGACTTGGTCTCCTGCATCAACTGGTTTGGGGGAGCCCTGCAGCTCTGGGCAGGGGACGGGGTAGGTGGGGGCCCCGAGGACTCACTGAAGGGACATGAGGGTGTGGTTTTCTCTCACTGCCATTGCGATGGCCTGGGCACCCTGGTCATGGAGGAGGTTGGCTGTCAGGCTGGGAGGAGAGGAACAGGGGCGAGTGAGCAGAAGCCGACCATGATGTCCCTGTCCTTGCTCCCCAGGGAATCCAGACCGCCCTCCCCCAACCCAAGGACTGCATCGGGCCCACTAGGGTAGCCCAGCTCACGCCTGTGGAGCACTTGCAGGTGCCCTGGACTGTTGTAACAAATCTGACACCCCCACAGGGAGTGGGCCCAAGCTCAGCTCAGTGAGGTTCCAGGACAGGTCACCCACCAGGAGGTGGCAGAGGACTCACTCCTGATTCCTGAACTGTGCTGCCCCCACGATGTGGCCCCTTCCACATGCTCGTCCAGAGCAAAGGGCTGAGGGCCAGAGAGTTGCCACTACTTCATCCTCATGTAATTTATGACAGGACAGTGGGGGACTTGTGTCTGAGTCGCCACCAGGGTCTAGGTCTCCTGGCTACCTCCTCCCAGCCAGGTCCTTCTTCAGCCTTTTATAATGGCCAGAGTGACCAGGGCCTGGCCCACCAGTCTCTGGGCTTTGCATAGGTGGGGCCCTGGCATAAAGGAGCCTTAGGAAGCACAGCCCTCCCCCCCCACACCCCCTCACGTACTCCAGGTTCTTCAGGGTGCTGTTGGTGCAGAGAGCTCGAGCCAGATCCTGGGCTCCCTCTGGGCTGATGGAGTTTTCCCGAAGGCTGAAGAAAGAGAAGACCCTGAGCTGCTGACCAGGCAGATGAGGCCTCTGGGGGAGACAAGCCCAGGTGTTCAGGCTTTTAGAACCAGAGAAATCTCATGTGGGACCCGGACTTCCTGAGCGAGCATGTGGTGTGTGCCTCCAGCAAGCCCAGGTTCTGGAGGCTAGGCAGCCAAGTGTCTCCCCTTTAGGACCTACCAGTAGGACAGTCTAGGAGGAAGAGGATAAGACAGTGGGACCTCAGAGCTGTGAGGGGCAGGCATGGGTGCTTGGGTGCCTAAAGGATGTGTATATGGGCAGGGAGCAGCAGAGCTGGCCAGCTGGGGGCCACAGCTGCCCTTGTCCTCCCAAGAGCAAGGTAGAGTGCAGGATGCCAGCCCCAGAACCAAGCTGCCCAACCAGAGGTCGTCACAGGGGTAATGTGGGCTTCCCAGCTCCGGCCTTTCCTTCCAAGTCCCCTTGGACCCCCTGACCAAAGGGATACCTGGTTGGAGCGGGAGGCTGGGACTTACTTGAGGCTGAGGAGGGCTCGGTTGGCGCAGAGGGCCCCCATCAGCGCTGCCACTCCGGTGTCACTGATGGAATTGCTCTGCAGGCTGAAGACAGAAGAGAGGGCACATTTGGTGTGGCTGTCTCAGGACTCGGAGGGAGCCATCAGTCCAGCTGAAACACTAAGCTCGCCAGGGAGTTGGGGGACACCTGAGGCAGGTGCCACACCACATTGTTGTTTTTCATCATCCCTCTTTCCTTTACTTTTTTTTAAATGTATTTTTTTTATTGATTTCAGAGAGGAAGGGAGAGGGAGAGAGAGATAGAAACATCAATGATGAGAGAGAATCATTGATTGGCTGCCTCCCGCATGCCCCCTACTGGGGATCGAGTCTGCAACCTGGGCATGTGCCCTGGACTGGAATCAAACCTGGGACCCTTCAGTCCACAGGCCAATGCTGTATCCACTGAGCCAAACCAGCTAGGGCTCATCCCTCTTTCCTCTCTCATCCCCACAGTCCAGCACCTGCTAGGTCAGGGCAGGTGGATATAGCATAACCAGCCCCAGAGTTTTACTCTACTTTGGTTTGGGTGGGTCCAAATGGCCTCAGAGAGGGGGCATGCGCTTGTCTGCAGCCCCCAGGGCACAGTTGAGTCTCCCCAGTGTGGGAGCAGCGCCAAGCTCCCCCACCCCCAACCAAGGCCACTGCTGCTGGCCCTTTCTTTAGCTACCTGCACTGACTTCTAAAGGGCTTTCAGTGCTTGTTGTCACCCTGAAAACACCAGCCCCTACTGTCCAGGGAAATGGAGCTGGTGTGGTAGGGTGAAACAGGTGGGGTAGGCTGCCGGAAGCCGGTCCATCCTTGCTGCTTGACACAGTCGCTGCAGGAAAGAAACATCTGCACAGCATATGTTTCAATGGACCTGGCGTATATAGCATACTGTTCTTAATATGTTTGCTCCCTTTAGCGCCATGTGTTTTAACCAAGGTCACCTCTCCGAGAAAGGTTGTTTCCCCAGTTGGGGATCTTTCCCTGAGGTTAGGGAAGGGATACAACCCCTTAATTAAGTGCCAGGCGGGTAGTTAAGCTACATAATCTTTACTCCCTGGAATGGAGATAAGAAACGCCCTAACCTTTGTAATAGAAATTGACAGGATTAAAATCGGCTGGTATAAATACGGATGTAACAAGACAATAAACATCAGATCCTCATCAGACCCTCATCAGCTCCTAACCAGAACCTAGCCAGAGAACATGGCAAAAGATCCTGGACAGAACCTGGCTACAGAACTTCACTGGAGAACCTAGACAGAACATGGCAAAAGAACCTGGTGACTGAACCTGGCTGGAGAACCTGGAGAACCTGGCTGGAGAACCTAGCGAGAGAACATGGCACCAGAACTTGGTTGGAGATCCTGACCAGAACTTCGCTGGAGATTCTGGAGGGAGAACCTCGCTATGCTGATGAACTGAACCCAGTTTCCATGTCATTCATTCTTCGCCGACTCCGTCCACACCTTTGGGGACCCCTGGACCCACTGGGATTGGACCCCAGCAGTAGGCATGGAGGGCGAGACACTGAGATCATAGCATGCCCAGGGTTGGGGGTTGGTTGGGTTCTGGCAGGGAAGTAGCCTTGACTGACAGCCCTCCTCCAGGACCCACCCACCTACTGGATAGGAAACCTGAGGGGGACGAGGGGGGAAGGGAGTTCCCCTCTGCCCACAGCCACCCCTGGAGGGTGGTCAGGCAGACTCACTCCAGACTCTCCAGGCCCTGGTTCACCTTCAGGGCCTCAGCCAGGGCCTTGGCACCTCCATCGCCAATGCTGTTACTGGAGAACCTGTAAGAGACAGGACACTGGTGAGCTGGCCTCCTGGAGCAGCTGGGCAGGGTGGGGCCCAGAGATCAGAGTCTAGGAGGGGCTGTCTCTGTTGTCTCAAGGTGCCAGTACAGTCTCTCCTGCTTGAAGCTGGTTGGCCAGTGGCCTCTGGAAGTGACCTCCTGCTTCCTGTAAGAGATGAAGGTAGCGAAGTCCTTGGCTCCCTGGCAAGGGAGTAGGGGCCAGGAGGAAGGACCAACTCTTTAATGAGAGGTATTTGTGATATGTTATGTGAAGGTGGCTAGGAAATGCCATTTTCTTCTGCTGGCTGAGAAGGCAGTACATGTGAGCCTGAGACAGTTGTGGCTCACTCAGTCTGTGAATCTGGATCTCCATTCTCCTGGTCCAGTGCTTTGGGGTCCAAAGCCAGTTGTTCTGCACCTACACATTTATTCATCCATCCACTCACACACTTACCCATTCATCCATCCACTCAACTACCAGTTCGTCCATCCATCCATCCATCTATCCATCCATCCATCCATCCATCCATCCATCCATCCATCCATCCATCCATCCATCCATCCCCATGCTCACAAATATTTATGATACGCTGGGCATTGTGTTAGACACTGAGGATACCAATTTGGCCTTTCTGCATTTCTCACATGAGCTCCTTCAGACTCCTGTTCTGCTTCAGGGCATCTGCCATGTGCTGGGCTCCCATGGGCCCGATGGTATTCTTCTGCAGGCTGTGAGAGAGGAGAGGGGTCCTTTAGCAAAGCTGGCCCCAGCTATTCCCAGGCCAAGAATACTCTGACTCAAGGTGAGAGGTCAGAGACAACAGAGTGCTGAGTGCCAGTCATCTCTTTGAAATGTACACATAAAGGAAGATAGCACAGACTCCAAGTTGTAAGAGCCTTCTTGTCATGAAGATATAAAGTTTTAACTTTCCTTTGGCTAAAGGCAGTTAACACACACAGATGGCTGTCCCAACTACCAGGCTAATTTAGGATAAACTATGTGTGACAAACGCTGCTGTCCAGTTCTCTTACTTGAGGACAAGTTGTTTATCTTGGAAACATGTATGTAATGGGTTGTATCTGTTGGCTATGGAAAAGGGTGTGATTTATTTCTGTCTTTGTAATCTCATCAGAAGATTGCCTATGATGTACATTACAGTCCAGTTGAGTGTTTATTCAAATAACAAAGCTGTTTTGTTCTTCCTCACATTTGTGGAGAGGGTTTTCTGGATTGGCAGGAGGTTTAATTTTTAATTTTTTGCCCAACACCTGTTCTCTGGAAAAGCAATGGACGTCAAGTTTTCCAGGGGCCATCCAGACAGGTCAGAAAGCCTCAGGGCCTTGCCCATCCATCCCTCCCAGCAAAACACAGGCAGAGAGGTCCTTGGAGGAGAAGATGAGAGAGTACAAAGGAGACTTTCTGATGGCCAGCATGTCCACTCACTGCATCACGGAGAGGGTCCGGTTGGCTGCCAAAGCCTCAGCCATGAACTTGGCACCATCGTCCCTGATCCTGTTACTCTGGAGGCTGTGGAGGCAAGGAAGAGGCGCGTCACCAATGGAGCACACAGGGGCACCCAATGGTGGCCTGAATCCCACCACAGTGTCACCAATGCTCAGGGAGGGCAGCAGCTAAGCTCAGTGACAAGGGGCTTTAACCACTCTATGCCCTCAATGCACATCCCACAGGACCTGGGCAACAGTTGGCCTTTCCCTCTGCTGCTCTGGACTTAGGTTTCCCTCTGGGTCTCTAAGCACTGGCCTGCTGACTGGGGACAAGGTGCCCATGGTATCTGGGTAACAATAGCTAGGTCATCGGTAATCCCAATTACAGCTAAAAGTCATAGCACCCAAGGGTTGGCGAGGATGTAGAGAAATCGGAACCCTCATCCACTGCTGGTGGGAATGTAAGATGGTGTGGCCACTGTAGAAAACAGACTGGTGGTTCCTCAACAGGTTAAACATAGAGTTACCATGTGACCAGCATCTACCCAATAGAATTAAAAACAGTTATTCAAATACTGTTCACAAATGTGTACAGCACCATTATTTACATGGCCAAAAGTTGAAAACAACCCAAATGTCCATTAACTGATGAATATTATTTGGCCATAAAATGGAATGAACTACTGATACATGCTAAAATGTGGATGAACCTTGAAAACATCTTAAGTGAAAGAAGACAGACATAAAAGGTCTTATTGTATGCTTCCATTTATATGAAATATCCAGAATAGGCAAATCCGTTGCGCAGAAAGCAGATTGGTGGTTGTTGAAGGGAGGGGAGAATGGGAAGTGACTGCTAATGGGCACAGGGTCTTCTTTTGGGGTGCTGAAAATATTTTAGAACTAGATAGAGGTGACAGTTGCACAATTGTGAATGTATTACGTGCCATTGAACTGCACACTTCAAAATGGTGAATTTTGTAGGAACCTCACTTCAATATAAGAAAATGAAAACAGGGAGAGGTAGCCGCCATGGTAAGGAGAGATATTGGTCAGGCGACCACGCAGCCAGAATAAAGATAAATGAAGAATTCAAAAGTAAAGAAAATGAAGCTTCTCCTAAGAAAATAGAAGAGACATCAAGTTGCCTGGTGAAAAGAACATGGATTAGCCATGGTCAAAACAAGAGCAGCTGAATCAACTCAGACGCCCACTGAAATGCTATCTTCATTAAACTAATAAAAAATAGGTTCCCCCCTGGCCGATGTTGCTAAGTGGTTGCATCGGGCCGCACCCCAAAGGGGTGCTGGTTTGAGTCTGGGTCAAGGGCATGTACCTGGGTTGCAGGTTAGCTCCCTGTCCCAAGTTGGGGCACATGCAGGAGGCAACCGGTTGATGTGTCTCACTCACATCGATGTTTCTCTCCCTCCCTTCCTTCTGCTCTCTCTGAAAAGCAATGAGAAAAAAATATCCTCAGGTGAGGATTAACAGCAACAAAAACGTTTCCGATGTGGAATTGTTACTCAGAAGATCTACTATACAAGGTGTTTACACAGACCACAATACACTGAAATAGGTCCCTAGGAAAGATGTTCTTATAGAAAATAAGCCATATTGTGATGCACCAACTGAGAAGCAATGAATTCCTAGGATAAATTCAAATCTTATCATTTTTAATTTTAGAATATATAACTGAAGCATAAACAAACAAACAAAAGAAATACATAAAAACAAAACAAAATGGTGGTACACATTCAACTTAGGATGGATACAACCACTGGCTCCTAAGCAAACCACACCGAACTATAAGAATCTTCTGAAAGATGGGTTTTCAGTGTCTTGGAAAACATCTCAGGGGGACATTCCGACACCATGATCTTGGGGATTTCTCATTCAATGGAGGACAAGAGGTTTTCCTCATAGATTATTTTGCTCCTCCACCTCTACATATCTCTACCCTTCTTCTCCTCTATTCCCTGCTCAGGCCGTAAACACAAGCACAATAACCAGGGAGGAGCTGGAACTTGGAAACTTGCTTAGGATACAAGATCCTGTGGTACCCACTGGGTGGGAGCTGGTGTCTGATGCCCACATTTTCAATCACCTCCTACTCCATGGGTGGCACCTGAAGGGAAGGTTTTCAGGGGGAAGCAGGTGACACGTACCTCAGAGAGGCCAGGGTGCGGTTAATCTTCAGAGCATCTGCCAACGCCTTGGCCCCTTGAGGTCCAATAGAGTTACAGCGGAGGCTGGCGGAAGGAAGAGAGAAACAACCATTCTCTTTCATCCAGTGCCCAGGAAGGGAAGTTACACTGACCTTTAAAATCTATGCGTCTTGAGCAGAATGTATCAGGGTTTAGGATTTCATGTTTGGTGCAAGTGGGACAGAGATGTTTATGTAGGCAAACAAGGAAGGAGTTTCTGAAGGTGCCCCATGTGATGGGCAGAAGAAAATGGGATCTGATGCTCTAGTGGACTTGAGCCAAGGACGGAGAGGAGAATGATAACTCCAAGTTCAGGCCTGAAATTCTGGTGCTTCCTGGGCGAGTCCGAATAGCTGAGCAGGAACTGTGACATTGTTTGCTCAGCTATTCTTCCAGTCCACCCATGGGAGAGACTGGCCAAGGGGACTTCACAACATGTCTCACAAGTGCTCCCTGCCCCTGTGGGGAAGACTGGCCTTTGGTGGTGTACTTACTCTAGAGAAGTCAGACTTCTGTTGACAAGGAGGGATCTGGCCAGAGCTTTGGCCCCTTTGTTACTGATCTGGTTCTCAGCCAAGCTGCCCAAGGGGAGGGAGAAGAGTGGTTATGGCAAGTCTATAAATATCAGCTCCAGGCTCATGATCCAGACCCCTCCGCCTCACCAGCATCATCAGGGCCAGGACAGAGGCAGAGATCAGGTGAGCCCTGGAACAGAATGCCAGGCCCACAAAAGCCTCTGAGCCAAGCAAGGTAGGACTAGAGTAGGCAGACAGACCTGCACACTGGCAAAGGGTCCCAGGGAAGTTTGATCAGAATTTAGCACAACAACTGCAACATAGCACAGGAATGAGGGCAGGCGGTTACAGAAGTCTACCACATGGACCCCAGGCAGTGGTGTGCTAGAAAACTGGCTCTCAGGAAAAACCAAAATACAAAATCCCTGATTTGTAACATTGGCCAATTTCCATGGTGTAAATACTCCCACCACGGCCAATTTCAAGCACTCACAGCTCTGATGAACTGATTTTACCCTCCTTAGGCACAGAGGTGTCTGTACGAGATCACATGGAGCCTACTACTCTAACCACTGTCCTCAATAATTGTTTTGCTCCTGACTCAATCCACATTTTTATTTCCTCAGATATAGATTATTTCAGAACCCAAAGCCTTGTGTGAGAATAAAAAATTATTCTTGGGCCCTGTTCTCCAAACTCACCTCCCTAATTCTCTGAAAGCTGCCCTTAGGTCATGGAATAATTTCAAGTACAAACAAGGGTGTTACTCAAACTTAGAAATTATCACAGGAGAGATTTTATAAGCACATAGATCTGTCCTGCAGTCAGCATATAAACGTTAATCTAATTACATTAAAGATGCAATGTTTAAATTTAAAAATCTTTTTTATTGATTTGTAAGAAAGAGAAGAAGGGGAAAGAGAGAGAGAGAGAGAGAGAGAGAGAGAGAGAGAGAGAGAGAGATTTGTTGTTCCACTTATTTATGCATTCATTGGTTGATTCTTGTATATGTCCTGACTGTGGATTGAACCCACAACCTTGGCATGTCAGGACAACCAGGCTTTAACGTTTTTAACTTAAAAATTTTTTTAAATTATATTTTATTTAAAGATAGAATCCTGTGCCCAGAACACTATTTGAGGGCAAACTGTGAGAAAATTGGGCCTGGTGCCATGTCAGTACATATAGCGTTTGGAGAAATAGCCTCTGCTCCTCACCCTATCCTTCCTCTCTTCTTTCAGATGAGTACCTGAGCCCCTGGAACTTTCTGGAATGGGTGGAAACAAGCTGCTGCATGCTTCAGACGCCTCTCTTTGAAAGTACCACCAGCTACTTGAGCAGAAAGGAGGATGGGGAAGGAGCCCTCAGTCCCAGAGAGACAGGTGGGTGCCCTGGACAGAGTCTCCTGGGTCAGCGTTACCTGATTCTCTGAATGCGACAGTCCTTTCCACTCAGTACACTGCCCAGCAGCTCCATCACGGGGTCCTGGAACTGGTTGGTGTCCAGCCTGGTTGGGAGGAACAGCAATTGTGAGTGGTACCACCTCCCATAGGCAGGGTGGATGAAGTCCCTGGCTGGCACAGGAAGGCAGGAGGGGGCACTAAGCTCAGACACCCAGGCTAGGATCCTCCCCCTCTCTCCATTCCACTGTAGCTCCCACCATATGGCCCAGAGACCTAGGACAGCACCCCCACCGAGCTCACAGTTTTCCTACGAAGGTGAACTGGGAGGCTCAGGGGCATGAGCCCTGGGGTTTCTATCCGTGTGCATCTGGGAGATGCTTGCTGCTAGTTCTCCTCCTTCTGAGGACATGGAAGCTGCTCTCAGGTCCTGAATGGCCCTGGCCCTAGTGCCCTCCCTCAGCCCCTATTAAGGTCCGGAGCAGTGGACAGAAGATGGGCTGAGGGTGGAGAGTGTGGGTGTGGCTTCTGTCAGCACTGGGATGGTTCACAGGGTGTTATGGGTTGAATAGTGTCTCCCCAAAAGCTATGTTGGCATTCTAACTCCCCAGTGGCTCAAGAGTATGACCTGATTTGGAAATAGGGCCGTTGCAGACGTAATTAGAGAAGATGAGGTCACACTGGAGTGAGGTGGGCCTGTCATCCCATACGACTGATGTCCTTACAAGCAAGGAAAGCCCTATGTCAGTGGTTCTCAACCTTCTGGCCCTTTAAATACAGTTCCTCATGTTGTGACCCAACCATAAAATTATTTTCATTGCTACTTCATAACTGTAATGTTGCTACTGTTATGAATCGTAATATAAATATCTGATATACAGGATGGTCTTAGGCAACCCCTGTGAAAGGGTCGTTCGACCACCAGAGGGGTCGCGACCCACAGGTTGAGAACTGCTGCCCTATGTGAAGACAGAGACACTGAGAAGGTAGTCATGTGGCCACAGGAGCGGAGATTGGAGTGATGGGTTTATAAGCCAAGGGTAGCCAGCAACACCACAAGCTACAGAGGCAGGAAGGATCCTCCCCTGAAGGTGTCAGAGGGAGCACAGCCCTGCCAACACCTTGAATTTGGACTCGGCCTCCAGAACTGTGAGAGAAAACGTTTCTATTGCTTTAAGCCACCCAGTCTGTGGACCTTTGTGACAGCAGCCCCCAAACACTGACGCCGAGGCTGCTGGTGGAGGGGAAGTACTTTCCAGGGCCTCTCCTCTCTCCTCTGCCAACACCCCTGCACACACCACCCTGGTGCCCACCTCAGACTCCGGCAGTAGAGCAGCTGGGGCAACAGGCTCTGGAGGACACCCTGACTGAGGCTCAGGGACAGGTTGGCCTCCTGGGCGCAGGCATCGGACACCTGCAGAAGGTAGGCCAGGGCAGCCCGGTGCGGGGGGCCGGTCAGCCTGGCCAGGCCCCCGCTCTCCATGGCCTCCTCCACACTGCGGGCCAGCTCTGTGTGCTGCAGCTCGTGCAAGCAGTGCAGCACATTGACTGCCCGGGCACAGACCACCGTGTTGGGCTGTAGGCAGCCCTGCAGGAGCTGGGCCACCTGCGCCCGGGAGCCCTGCTGCTCGCCCGGGGCCAACAGGGAGCCCGCCAATAGGTCATTGACCCTTGGAGATAAGAGGCCGCAGAGGAAGCGAAGGAACACATCCAGCCGTCCGTCCTCAGCCTGCATGGCCCGCTGGGCCGCACTCCTGAAATGCGTGAGGAAGCCCAGCCGAGGCCAGGACACACCGCCCTCCGTGAAGAGGTCGAAGATGGCCCTCTTGGACGCGCTGTAGTAGTACGCAGCCCCCAGGAACTCCTGCAGAGACAAGTGGGTGAAGCAGTAGGCTGCCGAGGAGGCCAGGGTCTCCTCCCGCTGCAGGAAGTAGCTGCACACGGTGCTCTGCAGCAGAGCAAGGTCCACACCAAACGCCTTCAGGTCCGGCTCATAGAACACGTACTTCTTCTTGACCAGCCCATGGAAGGCCATCCGGCCCAGCGTCCCCACCATCCTGCGGCCACCGTGGGCCAGCTGCTCAATGCGAGGGCTCACCTTGCCCTTCTCCTGCCCCTCCCCGCCCAGGGCCATCCGGAAGTAGCAAGAGTAGAGCTCGCACAGGGTCCTTGGAGGCCACAGCTCTGTGTCCTGGGGCCCCTGCCTGTGGCGGCACAAGTGGCCCAGGGCTAACCCCGCCAGCCGGCAGAAGGCTGGGACGGTGCACATCAGGTACAGGGCCCTGTGGGCCCGAACCTGGCTCAGGACCCAGTCCAAGAGGACCTGGTCCTCAGGGAACATCTGCTCCAGACACACTTTGATCTCCTCTCCATTAAAGCCCCGGATCTCAGTCATCCGGTCCACCAGGCCCCCTGGGATCTGGCCAGCTGCGCTGGGACGGGAGGTGACCCAGACAGAAACTTCCGGGAAGAGGTTGCCCCGGATGATGTTGGTGATCAGGTGGTCCACCTGGATCTCCTTCTTGGGGTCTGTGCAGGCCACGGTGTTGGAGAAGTCCAGAGGAGTCTTACACTCATCCAGGCCGTCCAGGATAAGGAGCACTTTGGCCAGGGCTGCCACTTCCAGGCCAGACTCCCCGACGTGTGGGAAGATGGAGCGAATGAGTCTGTCTGCGGACAGCTTTTCATGGGTGTTGAGATCCCGGAACGTCAAAGGCAGCACCAGGGAGAAGTCCTTGCCAATCTGCCCCCGGGCCCAGAGGCAGACAAAGTGCCTCACCAGGGTGGTCTTGCCCACACCAGCCACCCCGATGGTGATGGAGATGCGGGGCGGGATGGACACCCGCGACAGAGGCAGGAAGAGCCTGTTCAGGGTGATGGTCCTAGCTGAGCGCCAGGCCCCACGTGTGGCCTCCACCTGGGTGAAGTCGTGTTCCCTCAGCTGCAAGTCCATCAGGCCTTCCACTAGCAGGAGGTTGGTTAGCCTGGGTGAGGGGCCACCCAGCTCCAGGCTGCCTCCTGCCCTGCTCAGAAGGGCCTCTTGGTGTCTCTGTATCCGCGAGTCTGTGGATGGAGGTCAGAGCTCAGGGTTGGAGAGGGCGGATGTAAAGAAGGAAAGCGGCGAGGCAGATGAAAGGCAGGGGCAGGAGGTAGAATTGGGGGGGATGAAAGGAGAGGAGGGGGAAAGGCTTGGGGACACCCCTCCATCTGCTTACCATTGCCATGAGGCCCCCGTGGAGAGTCAGGTGTCCTGTCAGGGGTCTGTGGGGCCTGGGAGCCCTGACAGCCTTTCCCGGCCAGCAGGTCCATGAGGGCTTTCACCTGCTCTGCCGGGGAGCCAGCACCATGGCCCTGGCCAGCCTCCCCGCCCATCCGCATCTCCTGCTTCCTCATGGAGTCCAGGATTGCTGCCAGGAGCTGTGAAGAGAAAGCCTGAACCTGCTGCCTGCTGTCTCCCTGCCCAGTGGCCTGGGACAGGTAAGGAGCCTCCAAGGATGTGTGGGGGCTCACCCTTTGGGGACCCACCCTTTCTCCTCTCCCAGCTAGTGGCCCACAGTCTGACAGCGAGGAGGAGGTTGGAGGGGCTGGTTGTTCCTGGATGCTGAGAATCGTTCCTAATGCCACAAGCATTGATCAGATGCAGAGCACCAAATGGACAAGAACCCAGGCCCAAGCTCGAGCACTTACTGGTTGTGTGACACTGGGCAGGCTGCCTGAGCCCTCTGTGCCGGGGTGTCATTTGTAACCTGGAAATGGCAATGCGGTTATGAGTAGGTCCACTCACAAGAAGGGAAGAATGAAAGAAGCCAATCTGGAAAGGCTACATACTGTGTGACTTCAACTCTGTGTTATTCTGGAAAAGGCAAAACTATGGAAACAGTGAAAAGATCAGTGGTTCCCAGGGGCTTGGGGTGAGGAGGGAGGGATGAGTGGGTGGAGCACAGAGAATTTTCAGGGCAGCGAATCTACTCTGAGTGATATACTACAGTGGTGGGTTCACGTCATTGTACGTTTGTCCAAGCGCAGGGAATGCACAGCACCAAGAGTGAACCCTCATGTAACCCATGGGCTCGGGGTGATAATGACCTGTCAGTGTAGGCTCATCTGTTGTAAAAAGTGCCACTCTGGTGGGTATGTCCACAGTGGGGGAGGGTGCACATAGGGGGAGGGGTATATGGAAATCTCTGTACTTAATCTTTCTCTCAATTAGTCTGTAAAACCTAAAACTGCCCTAATAACGAAAGTCTAGTGATTAAAAAAGAAACAAAGAAAAAATGGAGGAGTCTAAAGAGAAAGGAAAGTTGGTTCTCAGAGCAGTGGTATAGCTACGTTTCTTACTCTGTTTCCTGGGGTCTCCTGGAAGAGCAGGGGCTCCTGACCCACAGGCAGCACTGTTTCTGCTGGGGATAGTGACGCAGAGGTGCTAAGAGGCAAACCATGTCTGAGTCCCACCCACTCACATTCCTTTTCCTCTGTGTATCGCCCCCCCCCCCCACCTCCCACCTCCCACCCCCCTGTGTACCCCTCCCTCAGCTAAGGTAGATACTTGAGGACCCAGAGCCACCTCCATCTCACCCCTCTTCTCACCTGTAGTGGGCAGGATGTCCAGCCCATGGCCCACCCACGGCAGCTCCTCCAGCAGGGCCTTAGGAACTCAGGGGGTGGGGGTTGGCCATCCCTCCTCCATGGGTCTAGAAGAGAAAACAGGACTCAGGGCTGGGCAGAAGCCACACCTACTGCTTTGGGTGTAGCAGCTCATTAAACCAGGTCCAACTATGCCTGCCAGCCCTGTGTTCTCTGGGCCTCAATGTTAGTCACTTAAAAGGAGGATTTGTTGCCTACAGCCCCAAGACCCCAGCGCACTCCCCAACCTTGAATTTGGATTGGGGTTCCAGACATTTTCACTCAGGATGAACCCTTTCACCTGGAAAATGCTAAACAAAGTGTAGCAACAAAGAAAATAGCATTTCCCAGCCATTTGGTTCATTGTGGTGTTGGAGAGTTGAGTGTAACCAATTTGAGGTAGATGAACTAATCTGGGAATATTAGAAATAGGCCAGGGCTAGGCCACTCATACTTCTGAGTCCTCCTCCCTCGTGGCTTGATTTGGACTGAAGGTGAGAATACCCTTCAGCACTTCATATAATATTGGTTTGCTGATGATGAACTCCTTTAGCTTTTTCTTGTCTGTGAAGCTCTTTATCTGACCTTCAATTCTAAATGATAGCTTTGCTGGGTAGAGTAATCTTGGTTGTAGGTTCTTGCTATTCATCACTTTAAATATTTCTTGCCACTCCCTTCTGGCCTGCATAGTTTCTGTTGAGAAATCAGCTGTCGTATGGGCATTCCTTTGTAGGTAACTAACTGCTTTCCTCTTGGTGTTTTTTTTTAATTGTTTTATTGCTTAAAGTATTACAAAGAGTATTATATATATCTCCTTTTTTTTCTCCCCTTGACCTTCCCCTGGCCTCCCATACCCCCCAGTGTCTTGTGTCCATTGGTTATGCTTATATGCATGCGTACAAGTCCTTTGGTTGATCTCTTTTTTTTTTTTATATATATTTTTTATTGATTTTTTACAGAGAGGAAGGGAGAGGGATAGAGAGTTAGAAACATAGATGAGAGAGAAACATCGACCAGCTGCCTCCCGCACACCTCCCACTGGGGATGTGCCTGCAACCAAGGCACACGCCCCTGACCGGAATCGAACCTGGGACCTCTCAGTCCGCAGGCCGACGCTCTATCCACCGAGCCAAACCGGTTTGGCCTTTGGTTGATCTCTTACCCACTCCCCCAACCCTCCCCGGCCTTCCTGCTGTACTTTGACAGTCTGTTCTATGTTGCTCTGCCTCTATCTATTTTTGTTCATCAGATTATAATGGTCTTTATTATCCATAAATGAGTGAGATCATGTGGTATTTTTCCTTCATTGACTGGCTTATTTCACTTAGCATAATGCTCTCCAATTCCATCCATGCTGTTGCAAATGGTAAGAATTCCTTCTTTTTTACAGCAGCATAGTATTCCATCGTGTAGATGTACCACAGTTTTCTAATCCATTCATCTGCTGATGGGCACTTAGGCTGTTTCCAGATCTTAGCTATGGTGAATTGTGCTGCTATGAACATAGGGGTGCATATATCCTTTCTGATTGGTGTTTCTGTTTTCTTGGGATATATTCCTAGAAGTGGATCACTGGGTCAAATGGGAGTTCCATTTTTAACTTTTTGAGGAAACTCCATACTGTTCTCCACAGTGGCTGCACCAGTCTGCATTCCCACCAGCAGTGCACGAGTGTTCCTTTTTCTCCACATCCTCTCCAGCACTTGTAATTTGTTGATGATAGCCATTCTGACAGGTGTGAGATGGTACCTCATTGTTGTTTTGCTCTTGCTGTTTTTAAGATTCACTCTTTGTCTTGTGCCCTTGGCATTTTAATTATGATGTGTCTTGGTGTGGTCCTCTTTGGGTTCCTCTTGTTTGGGGTTCTCTGTGCTTCCTGGACTTTAAGTCTATTTCTTTCACCAGGTAGGGGAAATTTTCTGTCATTATTTCTTCAAATAGGTTTTCAATTTCTTGCTCTCTCTCTTCTTCTGGCACCCCCATAATTCAGATGTTGGTACACTTGAAGTTGTCCCAGAGGCTTCTTACACTATCTTCATATTTTTGGATTCTTTTTTCTTTTTGCTCTTCTGGTTGGGTGTTTTTTGCTTCTTCATATTTCAAATCATTGATTCTCAGGATCCTCTAGTCTACTGTTGAATTTCTGTATATTATTCTTTATTTCAGTCAGTGTATGCTTAATTTCTGACTGGTCCTTTTCCATTTTTTTTTTTTTTTTTTTTTTTTTTGGTCATTCTCACTAAGATCCTTGAAAGTCTCACTAAGTCCCTTGGAAATTCCTGGAAGATTCTTGATAACCTTATAACTGTGATTTTGAACTCTATATCCAGCTTTTTTACTTTCTTCTATTTCTTTCATTTGTAACATGTTTCTTTGTCTCCACATTTTGGTTGCTTCCCTGTGTTTGTTCCTATGTATTGGGTGGAGCTGCTAAGTCTCCTTGAGTTGATAGAGTGGCCTTGTGTAGTAGGTGTCCTATAGGGCCCAGTGGCTCAGCCTCCTCAATCACCTGAGCTGGGAGCTCTAGGTGTACCCCTTTGTGGGCTGTGAGCACAGTCTTGTTGTAGTTGATACTTGATTGCTGTTGGTGTCACTGGGAGGAATTGACCTTCAGGCCAATTGACTGTAGGGACCAGCTGTGTCTACAGTGGGAGAGCTGCTGTGTAGGAGACACCCTTATGGAGCAGGACTTGCTTTAATGGGGCTTTGGTGCTCACTGAGTCTGCCCCTTGAGTGTGTAACTTATGGATGCGAAGAGTTGTAATCTGGTATGGTCTCACATTGACCACTGGGTACACTGGCTCTTGAGTCTCCAGAGAGGTGCAAAGTCAGCCACTGCCTGGGGCCACCCAGCAGGAGCTACAGAGAGATCTGCAGATTCCTCCTCTTTGTATCGGGTTTGGAAGTACGCAGATGAGGCCTGGCTGTTAAGCAAGGCAGGCTGGTGCCGGGTCTTAGGCTTTTTATTGATAGCTTTGGTGCTCCCTGACCCAGCTGCAGCTTGTTTGATAGGTTTTTAGCCTGAGAAAGGACAGGCCATTCATATGAAAAAGCTGCTGCCCACAGCTTGGGTGGGGTTGTAAATTTGGTAGGGCGGGATCTCAGGGAATCACCAGGGCGGAGCAAACAGAAATGGCTGCCAGTCAGCCCTGCGACCGGACAGGTCCCAGCGTAGTAACAATGACCGCTGTGAGCACCTCTGTCTGGAAGAAAGCCACTGCTGAGTTCCTGCCCTGATGCCAGACAGTCCAGTTTCTCCTTGTATGTGTCTGGGTTCCCCAGAGCCTCGCCAGGCACTCAAGCTCAAAGGTAGCAGGAGCTTGTAAGTTCAATCGGCCTTATAAGAGGAGCAGTTGGGTCTCCAGCAGCCTGTGTGTCACTCAGCCCCAATCCGCACTGGTTTTTACAGCCTGTAGTTCTTACTGCCTGTAGGGACTTCTTTTCCCAGCTCTGGGACCCTGGGCTGGGCATCTGGTGTGGGATTGGGACCCTTTACTCCTCTGGGCAGCCTCCACAGAGATGATCTCCCTCCCCATTAAAAAAATGGCACACGTGGGAGCCAGACCAGCTTGTTCAGCACCTCTGCACCTCCTACCAGTCTCAGTATGCTTTCTTCTTTAGTTATCTAGTTGTAGGACTTCCATTCAGCCAGCTTTCTGGTGGTTCTGGATGATGGTTGTTCTTTATTTTAGTTGTAATTTTGATGTGGTTGTGGGAGGCAGCAAGTACAGGCATTTGCCTACACCACCATCTTGGTTCTCTCTTATTTCCTTTTGTGGTTACCATGAGGTTACGTTTAACATCCTAAAGTTATAACCCTCTAATTTTAATTTA